TAATAATTATAACTCAGAATAGAAATTATTACAGAGAAGTCTATATAATGTTGGCCTTACAGATTTGATGTGAATTTATAATCTAATACACAAATAAAATAAAAAACAAACAAACAGAAAAATAACATCCATTGGGTTACATGGAAATCATTCCAAAATGACAATAAGAGAGAGAGAGAGAGAACGCACGAGAGAGAGCGAAAAAAAGTTCCTATATCTAATATCAAACATCAATTAACTTGTCAGGATTATTTATACCTTACGTGTGTATAATACAAAGGATGGAACTAATATTTTCGTTTCTTTATTTCCAAATTTCAAAGCATGATATTGGGGCATTACGTCAATGTAATGCTATATATATCTTCTTTTTTTAATTAATCAACTTTCCACTCATGAATTATTTTCGTTTCGCTGCGTTGGTGTTCTACACGAAAGACTCTTTGAAAATATATTTTACTACTTTTCTCAATATACTAACATTTTACTAAACTTACATTGACAAAAAAGGGACAGATATAAATAGGAAGATAGACATATATATATATATATATATATATATATATATATATATATATATATATATATATAGATAGATAGATAGATAGATAGATAGAGAGAGAGAGAGAGAGAGAGAGAGAGAGAGAGAGAGAGAGAGAGAGAGAGAGAGAGAGAGAGAGAGAGAGAGAGAGAGAGAGAATAGAAAGCATGCAAAGAAAATGAAAAAAAAGGAAAAATTAAAAACAAAGGGACAGAAAAAAAAAAAAACGGGAGACACCAAGTAAACTAATAAAATATTCTTAAAGTGAACAGTCTGCAGAATACACGTGATGGCGTTTAGTTCAACACAAGAACTAATAATGAAAATTATTTTCTGTTATTTTCACTACCTTTATTATATCTGCAGGTGATGACTAATTATGTAAATAAGAGAAGTTACAAATCTTTTTGTATTATTTTATTCACTGGTTCAATCTATTACGAGTGGTAAAGTTAAGAACAAAAACACAAAAACAAAAAAAAAAATTGTCTTTTTTTTTTCAAATATTTTCTCGTTTTATCACAGCAAAGGGTAGGTGTGTACAGGAGAAGGGGATAAATGTCTGAAATAAAGGAAGAAGGAGACAAAGAACATTAAGAAGTGGCAGGGAAGGAATTGGGAATAAAGGAGGAAGAATAAGATAAAGAGGAATTAGAAACAGAAGAAGGACGAAGAATAAAATGAAGAGGAAAAATGCGATAGATAGAAAGACGAGGAAAATAAAAAAAAATCTAATTAAATAAATGTAATCAAAGATGGACTCAGTCGTAACAGTATTAGCAGACTGTCTCTGCTAATCACTTGATAATCTCCCTGGCTTTGATATGTTGAGAAATACATAGTGAGTCTTTTTACACCTGTTCTGTAGGAGGGAATTGAAATCCTTTTGAGGAAAAGTTTGGAAAGCAAAGGATATATATGCATACATCATGTATACATAAGCATAGACATACATGTGTATATATATATATATATATATATATATATATATATATATATATATATATATATATATATATATATATATATATATACATATATATATATATATATATATATATATATATATATATATATATATATATATATAGAGAGAGAGAGAGAGAGAGAGAGAGAGAGAGAGAGAGAGAGAGAGAGAGAGAGATGGGGAAAAGTCCGAAGTTTTTGGTTTCATATTTGTTTTCAATTTTCTGCTCTCGTCTTTATTTACTCCATTTATTCATCACCCAATACTACTTCTTTCTGGTATTTTCCTCCTGTTTCTTCTGCTCTTTTCTCTCTCATAGGAACTCCTCAGAGCCAGGGAAATACGTTAAAACAAAGACAAAAACAAAAATATTTTTTTTTTGTTCCTTTTTTTTTCTCTTTTGTTCGCTTTTATGGCATCACTTCCAACAGGTGTGTAAGTGGGTCTTCTTCTCCTGTCCTCTCTTTCCCCTCTTCTTCGTTGGACAGCTGTTTGTGGTGGTCTGTTGGAGGTGAAGCAAGGAGGCTGATAAAGGGACGAACGAAGGAGCGATGATAAAGATGGGTATGGGGGACCAAGAAGAAGGGGGGCGAGGAGGAGGAGGAGAAGGAGGAGGAGGAGGAGGAGGAGAAGGAAGGGGGGAAGTGAGGAAAGAAGGGAGGAGGGAATAGAAGAATTAGAAAGAGGAGGAAGGGCAAGGGAGGAAGAGAAATGGGAGGGCTTGGGCAAGGGAGAGAATGGGGAAATACGGGAGCTTTGAGATTAAACGAAGAGAGGGAAAGGAAAACGAGAAGAGCAAGAAAGACAAAGAACGAGACGAGACCAGGAGAAGAGGAGGACGAAGGCGGCGGTGACGTTGTAGAAGAAGAACGTAGAAGAAAACACAGAACTCTGTCAGTCTCTGTTGCTATCTCTCCCTCCTTCTCCTCCTCCTCCTCCTCCTCCTCCTTTTTCGCTTCTTCCTTTCATCCTTCTCGTCACTTTTCCTTCTC